GTGCATTCAGTGTATCATTATGCAATGTACGAGTACTTCTCGAGAGCATTCGGGGATCTAGGTAAAACATCGCACCGAAACCTTTTGCTGGTGCCTACTTTCTTTTTAATAAGCTTTTAGCTGTTTGAGATGAGAAATTTATGTATTGTATTGTACAGGGGAATAATAATACAACGCTTTTTTCCAAGCTTGACGCCACACCTGCTTCAGATTTACGACAGTTATCCATAGCTGAGCTGAGCGAGTATTTATCAAAATCATAATAATTATTACAAGTATCATAATTTTTTTGTTTTATAGAACAATTACATAACTTCATTCAACATGCCTGGGGTGATCATGGCAATGCAGACATGAATGGCAGAGTCAACTTAAGTCTAAAATGCAGTGAAAGAACATTGAACGTGCGGTTACTGGTTGCTGTGCTGGCACGTGTATTCCGTGTGCGACTGTAAATTCATGGATACGTATCTTGCTCTTGATTTTTGTGGCATGCAGGCAGGATGCAACTTCGAGGGTAACTGTTACTCAAGTGCATGTGTGTGTGTGTGTGTGTGTGTGTGTGTGTTTGTGTGTGTGTGTGTGTTTGTGTGTGTGTGAGTCGTGTGTGAGGTGTGTGTGTGTGAGGTGTGTGTGTGTGTGTGTGTGTGTGTGAGGTGTGTGTGAGGTGTGTGTGAGGTGTGTGTGTGTGTGTGTGTGTGTATGTGTGTGTGTGTGTGAGTGTGTGTGTGTGTGTGAGGTGTGTGTGTGTGTATGTGTGTGTAGGGGGGGGGGGCGTGTGTATTATGTGTGTGTGTGTGTGTGTGTGTGTGTGTGTGTGTGTGTGTGTGTGTGTGTGTGTGTGTGTGTGTGTGTGTGTAGTTGTGTGCATGTGTGTGTGGGGGGGGGGGGGGGGTGCGCGTGCGCGCGTGTGTGTATTTGCGTGTGTGTATGTATGTATGTGTATGTGTGTGTGCTCTCTCTCTCTCTCTCTCTCTCTCTCACTCTCTCTCTCCCTCACTTTCATCTTGTTTCAATTCTACATTTGCAGGTGGAGGCGTTTGGTGTGGACATTGTGATGGCTGTTGACTGGTCTGGTTGGCATGCTTTGGAGCGACTAAAAGATTTGTGGAGGTGCGTTGGATTGGTCTACAGTATAGGCGTATACGAGACTCGTACTCAGTTATTGGCCATCAGGAAATTTTGGCATTTTTGCCGGGGGGGGGGGGGAGGGGGGCTAGTGCTCTGGGCAAAGATTGACACAATGGCCGGCGTACATGTGTGTGTGGGGAGGGGGGGGGGGGGGGGGGGAGAAATTATTTATTGAATTTTTTAACATGCCGCTAATTTTTGTAACTCTCTCTCTCTTTCACTCTCTCTCTCTCTCTCTCTCTCTCTCTCTCTATCTATCTATCTCTCTCTATCTCTCTCTCTCTCTCTCTCTCTCTCTCTCTCTCTCTCTCTCTCTCTCTCTCTCTCTCTCTCTCTCTCTTTCTCCCTCTCTTTCCCTCTCTCTTTCTCTCTCTCTCTCTCTCTCTCTCTCTCTCTCTCTCTCTCTCTCTCTCTCTCTCTGTCTCTCTCTCCCTCTCTCTCTCTCTCTCTCTCACTCTCTCTCTCTCTCTCTCTCTCTCTCTCTCTCTCTCTCTCTCTCTCTCTCTCTCTCTCTCTCTCTCTCTCTCTCTCTTCTCTCTCTCTCTTTCTCTCTCTTTCTCTATGCTTCGGCTCTTGTCTCACAGAAGCAAGCCAGCGTATTTCCTGAAATTTCGAGTGTTTTCGCGGAGCATAGAGCTGCTGCAGTCCGATGGCGATCGTCGATTCTACGCGGATCATGAGTGCTGTGCTTTGGCGAACAGCACGTTAACCGTTGCCCTGTCCTGCTACGATGCTTGCCGCCTGCACGCCCTATGCCAGTCGTGCCCGGGCGGAAGCCTTTGTGCTGGCGTGGCCGCTGGTTTAGACCCGTCCAGGGAGACCGTTGGCGAGCTATCCGCTGAGTCTCCTGACGGCTGCATGTGCCACTGTGCATGGGCGGCACGGCAAGCGGACGTGACGGCCGTCGCTCCGTCTGTGCTGAGGCCGCCCATACGCAGCGACATACTACGCGTGGGACGCACGCACCGGCGTAGGACTCTAGGCGCGCTGGACAATGCCGGCACTGCGTGGTCATGCCAGCGACGCTTTGTCACGTGCTGCGTCCGACAGTCCCCAGAGAAAGTAAGCACTTTCCTCACCTGGCTGTTTTGTGTTTGAAACCTAAGGTACAGCGTCTTGTAAATAATTATTGCAGCCAACTCATAATGATGATACGAGTAGTCTTGACGACAAAACTTTAAAATTGTTTGAGTACTCTTTTGATGACCTATGTTAGAACAAGCATAGCGAGGGCACTGAGCTAAGTGATCTCTCGTAGCGAGGGCCCTGAGCTAACTGATCTCTCGCAATATAAAGAACAAATATAGCAAGGGCCCTGAGCTGGCAGTTCTCTCGGTAGCTACTCGTTTGGTGATAATGCTACCTACACAGTCACCTGTTTGGTCTACTCCCAGCTATCATGGACCACACACGCACTCATGCAAAACATGTTTGACAGTGGACCTTAGGTACGCTAGCCAAACTGCACCGCTTTCTGGTGTCATACGTCTCTTGAATAGGTTCATGAGCAAACTTCACAATTTTATTTGAGAATTGTTCTCTCCTTTTGTTCATTGCAGAATGCCATGTTGTTTGCTGACTTAGCGGTGGAGATGGCAGCATTTCTCCGCAATAGAAGCATCTCCTTACGACTCTGTGGGGCTGTAGCCGATCAATCCTACGCATCCTTGGTAAAATCCAGGTACGTGCTGTGCTGCCTTGTGTCTTCTGTACCATCGAGGACAAGGCAGATCGGATGAAGTGTGTGTGTGTGTGTGTGTGTGTGTGTGTGTGTGTGTGTGTGTGTACATGGTACATGGTGTGTGTGTGTGTGTGTGTGTGTGTGTGTGTGTGTGTGTGTGTGTGTGTGTGTGTGTACGAGTGTGTCTATTGTGTGTGTACAAGTGTGTCTATTGTGTGTGTGTGTGTATGTGTGTGAGGGAGTGAGTGCATGTGTGTGTGTGTGTGTGTGTGTGTGTGTGTGTGTGTGTGTGTGTGTGTGTGTGTGTGTGTGTGTGTGTGTGAGTGTGTGTGTGAGTGTGTGTGTGTGTGTCTGTGTGTGTGTGTGTGCACGAGCGTGCATGCATGTGCGCTCATGCGTGTGTGCGCGCTTGCTTGCTTGCGGCAAACTGCAAACGTTTGTAAAGAGTCTGATTTGTCCTGTCCATGATGATCTGTCAGTTCGCCGCTGCATGCTCCGGCTACCTTAAATTTTTATCTCTTTCAGTGTCTACCGGTATGTGCTCTGCACGTGTTGATTCGCATGTTCATATGCCGTCTTGATGGCAGTTAATGGTTTATGCTGACTTGAACTCGAGGCATCCATCTCTAGACCACTCTGTGTGTGTGTGTGCTGTATTTGCCCCCCCCCCCCCCTCACCCCATCATTCTCCCTCATTTTCCCCTGCAGGATAGCTGAGGCAGGAGTACAGGTCGAATACTGGGGAGGGTTTAGCTCAACTGACAAGCTGATGGAGGCGTTTCAGACAAGGTATGATGATAGGGACGTGTGATAGTAGCTCATTCTACTTGCGCTGTTATCCGGCATGGCATCATTGAAGAACTGCACGTTTTCAGAAGGCAAAGATCACGTTAGGCACACTCGTCAACAGGCAACACGGAAATGCAGAAAGACAAAGAGAGAGAGAGAGAGAGAGAGAGAGAGAGAGAGTGAGAGAGTGAGAGAGTGAGAGAGAAAGAGAGTGAGAGAGTGAGAGTGTGTGTGTTAGAGTATGTGAACAATGACAGTTTAGCTCTACTCATACATTTGTGTTTTGTTTTAATGGTTACCTATTGTGCCTTGGCATTCTGGTACTAGTTGTTGCTGTTTGCCACATCTTGTATGTTGTGTGTATGCATTTAGCTTGCTGAACATTCACCCGTCACTTCATGATGCATTCGGTATGACTGTTGTTGAAGCAGCAGCTGTTGCCACACCCAGCTTAATCCATGATGATATTGGTACGTACTAGGCAGACTTCACTCAGATGCTAGTACTCTGTTCTCGTGTTATCCTAGAGCGTGTTGTGTGTTCGTGTCTGCATGCATACGTGTGCATGTCGCTATGAACATGTATTGTTTAATTCCCGTAGCTATGCAGAAGACGTTACTTCAGTAACGTCTGGCGCTAGCCAGGGTCCACACAGCTTTAATTTGGTATTTGTGTGTTTGTTTGTGTGTTTGTTTGTTTGTTTGTGTCACGCCTGGCGCTATCCGTATCTGACGGCAAAAAAGCATAGGATGTTAAAAAATTTTCAATTCTCCTATTTTTTTCAGGCATATCCTGGGATTCGAACCCGCACTATCGCCCTACATGCATTCCCCCATACACTTCGCATTCATACCCATTCTTCCAAGTTGCTTCAGGTTATTATCTTGCGTTTGAAAGCCCTATTTGAATATTGCGGGCAGCTGTATGTGGCCAGCTGTGTTTGATGGTACGGTACGGGAGACGGTGTTGTATTACCCTCGATCGTACCTGTCCCGTACCTATCCCCTACCGTACCGTGCCATCAAAGACGGCTGGCCACAATGCATATTCAAATAGGGCTTTCAAATGCAAGATCACAATGTGAAACAACTTGGAAGAATTAGTATGTATGTGAAGTGTATCGGGGGATGCATGCAGGGCGCGCGATACTGCGGGTTCGAATCCCAGGTTATGTCTTTAAAAAAAGGATTTTTTTAAAGAATTTATAACATCCCTATGCTTTTTTTTGTCTAGGTCATCAAGGCAAAAAGCATAGCGTAGGGCCCTGAGCTTCCAAGCTCTCTCGTAGAGAAGATACCGGCGCAAGGTGTAAACACTCAACTACCTCACACATGTGACAAATCAACACAAAAAGGAATAGTGCAGAATGGAGGTGTTGTGAACCCTACCAGACAAAACTATCACAAGTGCTAAATCAATCACAATGAGAAGGAGAGGTGCACAGGAATAGGTTGCGCTAGTTTACACGTCACAAAGAAGTAATACTGTAAATCAACAAATTTTGGCCACTGAGAAACTTTGGCCGATCTCGAAATGAAACTTTTGGCCGTCATTTAACTTTGGCCGATTTGGGTTTTCAAAAAAGAAATCGATTGGTATTTGTTGCCCTCACATGCAGCGATGGCTCAATAATGCATCATTTGCCTCTATGACAAATTTTGGCCTGCGATTTGCTTTGGCCGGTTGGTACCCAGCGGCGAAATCAGCGAAATTAAATCGCCAGCGAAAATTAGTTGATTTACAGAAGTTGGTTGCTTTACATTTTACAGGCTACATTTTACAGGCTACATTTTACAGGCTACATTTTACAGGCTACATTTTACAGGCTACATTTTACAGGCTACATTTTACAGGCTACATTTTACAGGCTACATTTTACAGGCTACATTTTACAGGCTACATTTTATAGGCTACATTTTACAGGCTACATTTTACAGGCTACATTTTACAGGCTACATTTTACAGGCTACATTTTACAGGCTACATTTTACAGGCTACATTTTACAGGCTACATTTTACAGGCTACATTTTATTATTATTATTATTATTGTAAAGCTTTCCTTTTGATCTTGTCTCTTATTGTTGTGACCTTTCCACAATATTGTGTTGCATTGTTTAAAAAAAATAGTTGGTTGCTCCTATGTGGAGGTTTGGTGCTGCCCAGACCCACATTGGGAAGTTGGCTACAGCACAGCGCAATGCCATGCAGATGATTGGACCCACCACCGTCCTCCCGAGTCTGCGCGCCAGACGGACAGTCGCAGGGCTGTCCTACCTTTACAAGGGCCCACCCCGTCTGACACGCATGCACCCTCCACCCCCCCCCCCCCCCCCCCCGTACGGTTTCCTTGAATTGTGGAACAGCCTCCCCGAGGACGTCTTTCCCCTTCCGGCCAATCACTCCCCACTCACAGCTTTTTTTTTAAAAGGCGTCAACAAACACATATCAGAGCAGCCATGGCCTTGGGACGTGCTTTGAAGCCCATCATGTTGATCGTCTCACTGTTCTTTCCTGATCCCACCTCTTGGTTTGGGGATGTGCGTTGAAGCACACCATACTAACGGTCTATACTGTCCTCTCTTGTTTGTGTACATGTACAGTGCTGGCAACTGAAATCCGACCCCCCGAGCGGTGGGTTCACATTCTAGCGGTCTCTGTTTCGTAGTTTTACCATCCCGTGTTGGGTCTTTGCGATATGAGCGCACCGCTCAGGGTGTCTGATTTCAGTAGTCAGCACTGTATGTGTGCATATGTGTGTTCTTTGCATTTGGGACTTGATCCGGCTGTGCACTCTATTAGTGTACAGTGAAAGCTGTCTAAGACGACCGCTCAAGGGACATTCAAAACCTGGTCTCTGTTACCAGGTGGTCTCCGTATCCAGGGTCATTTGCCTGGAAATAGCATCTCTTGGTCCTGGTTTCAGTGGTCTTCTAGGACAGGTGGTCGCCTTATCCGAGTGGTCGCCTTGACAGGTTTTACTATATCTGCTTATTACTTGACTCAGTCTCAGTGCAGCACAGCTGAAATTTGCACTAATCTATGTCCCTGTATGCATACTGTACAGCAGGAAATTTTCGGACGGAATTTATTTTCGTACGATTTCGTACACGGGCCTCTTTTGTACTAAAATCAATTCCGTTCTAAAATTTGTCCCTGTGAAGTTATGTACGCTCTACATGCGAACACGTGCATTTAGCATGCAGCACTGTGCGAAAATAAAATCCGTACGAAAGGTCGAAAATCGGCTGTGTCCGAAAATATTTCCGTCCGAAAATTTCCTGCTATACGGTATGCTTCGTGGGCTGAATTGTGAGGGCAGGCGAAAGGTCTACCACACTCGCTGCCCGAAGTGAAAACGTGAAAATGCGTTGCGGCCAAAAGTTTTATTTCTCCAGCGGTGAGCTCATGTCCATGACTCTGAGGTTGAATGCATGCACAGAGTCCTAGCCACTTGGCATGCACAGAGCCCTAGCCACTTGGCATGCACAGAGCCCTAGCATGCACAGTGCCCTAGCCACTTGGTGTACAACTCATTGGCTTCTTCCCCTTCACACATGTACTAACCTTTGAAAGAGATTTGAAACTCGGCAACACAGTTCACTGGCCTACCTGAATTTACAATACTGCAGAACGGCTAATTTTACCGGGTCCTTTTTTTTTAGGGTTTTATTAATCAGGACCAATTCGCAATGAAATAATGTAGCAATCCGAGTTTCAGATTTCAAAATCAAAGGTGACTACAGTATTGTACTGTGCATACAAAATTCCGATCAGTGCGGCAAAACTTTAGCCAAAATACTCCTTTCGCTAATAGAGCTTTTGGTCACGGTCACTTTTTCATGTCACTTGCGAGACATTTTTTGAATCGCCGGTGAACAGGCGAAGCCCAGTTCACGTTCGCTGTGTATGGGAATGGACGCGTGAAGGTGAAAGAAGCACTAGAATGGTGCTCCACTTGATGTCACACGCACACACGCGCACACACACACACACACACACACACTACTACTACTACTATGTACAACTGCCACAAAATGGCCACGTCGCTCCCAGAAGCGGGAGACAACAGGGAGAAAAAAGAAACAAGGAGAATAATTGAGGTGAAAGGGGACCGTTCTACACATAGCTAGTGTTTCTGTCTTCGGTGGCGGGTGAGGTCCTGCGGGCGGGAGAATCGTTCGTTACATAGGCTGCATTGAATGGGCAGATTAGTCCTCTGGTCCTTTCGCAGTCGTTTGCCTCGAGTACAATTATGGCGGTTAAAACCAGCCTGACTCTTCATGCAGCGATCACAGATCGAGCAATGGTGCTGGCAGCAGTCCAAATTCAGGCTGCATCTCGTTGAAACAGCTGGTATTTCGTCCGATGTCTGACGCTCCACACAACGATGAACTGCAAAACCGCCAGCGCTTTGAAACCAGCGGTCACAAACTCCACAGTGACGGGCCCCAGGCTGCTGGGCAACAGGTAAGGACCGTACAGCTGAGCACTTGTGACGGTGAATCCCACGAGCAGTGAATGATCGGTTGCAAACCTTGCAGGTGACTTTGTTGTTGTTACACTCCACGAGATCATCCGGAGTCTTTGCAATTGCCTCGCGCCATGCTGGGCGATCCTGAGCCAAAGTGAGCCAATTCACTATGCCACCGAAACGAAGATCACGTGCGACGAGGTCTTTCCATCGCAGTCGTGGCCCACAGGCTGGGCGTGGATCTGAGAAGAAGCTAAACAGTATCAGCTTCGGAAGCCGGTTATCTGGCATTCTGGCGACATGCCCAAGCCACTGCAGACGGCGGTGTCTGACGGTATCAGATGGCAGTGCCATATCACCCCAGCGTCTTCGCAGCTCCTGGTTGTTGACATGCTGCAGCTGTTGATCGAGCCGGGATACACCCAGAATGAATCTGAGGGAGCGGTGGTGGAAGTTGTTGATGGCAACCATGTCTCTCTTCAGCGGAGTGCAGCACTCACAGGCATAGAGCAATGTGGACAGAACGCAAACATCGTAAAGATGGCGCTTGGTGGCGATGGAAAGGTTTCGGTCAAGAAAGACACGGTGCATAAGGTCGAAAGCTGCCGCTGCCTTACCGAGTCTTCTGGCCACATCTGCAGATGAGCGGGTGTCAGCAGTTATCACAGAGCCAAGATACACAAAGGATTTGACACTTTCGATCTCCTCCGGACCAACAAAGAGCGGAAGGCGGTCAGCACATGATAAATTTGCACCAACGGCCATGAACTTGGTCTTCGCTGTACTCAGAGTCAAGCCGAAGGAAGAAGCAACGTTGCTGAACAGCTCCAAAGCCAGTTGAGCTGACTCACGGGATGGTGCAAGTAGTGCTGCATCATCTGCAAACTCCAGGTCGTTGACCGATGTCGTGCCAGTTTGACGGGTTCGCTTGGGAAATAGATTGCCACTTCCATGGATTGAAGATATCAGGGACACACCGTTAACACCAGCTGCTGCCATAGCTGAACGCCATGCTTCCAGCACAAGACCAAAGTACAGGTTAAACAACAGTGGGGCCATAACGCACCCTTGCCGCAAACCATTCTCAACCGAGATGTTCCCAGACACATCACCATCAACCCGAACAGCAGCCTGCATGCCTGAATGGAAGCCGTCAATCAGCTGGATGAGTGACCCAGGCACACCATACACCTCAAGGGCCAGCAACAGTGCAGCGCGCGGTACCGAGTCGTACGCCTTGCGGAGATCGATGAAAACGAGAAAGGCCTTACAGCGGTGCTCGAATGCCTTCTCGACTACCTGTCGCACGCAAAAGATGGCATCTGTGCAGGATCGCCCGCGCCGAAAACCACATTGGCTTTCAGGGAGATGTGCCTCAGCAAGAGGTTGCAGCCGGTCCTGAATAACACGTGCGAGAAGCTTCCCGACGACGTCCAATAAGGCTATTCCCCTCCAGTTGTCACACTTGCTCAAGTCACCTTTTTTTGGAATAGGGACGAGCACAGCATCTTTCCACTCCTGAGGCACAGATGACGCTGACCAGCATGTGGAGAAGAGTGCATCCAGGTGTGGCCGAAGAACAGTAAAGCCGTGCTTCAACAGCTCCGCAACGATGAGAGACGAACCAGCCGACTTGCCGTTGGCCAGATGATGGAGAGCGCACTCAATATCCACAGCCGTTGGAGGGCATGCCAGGCTGTCGTCAACTTCCCGGCAGGACAACTGCTGGAAGACAGAGACATCGAACACACTAATGACATTGAGAACACGGGTGAAATGTTGCTGCCAGCAAACACGCTCTTCCTCCGCTGACACACACAGGGTTCCATCAGATTTGCGAATGGAATGAGAGGCCACAGGTTTCATACCATTGTAGCAGCGCTGGATGTCCCGGATGGCTGACCAGACGCGCTCCCCACTGAACTTGCCAGACTGTGCCATATCCGCCTTTCTCTGCAACCAGACACGCTTTGCCGTTCGAACTGCAGTACGCGCTGCACTACGGGCCTTGCGGAAAGCTGAAAGGTCAGCGGGATCAGCAGACTGAAGCCACTGGGCATAGGCACGGTTTCGATGTTGCAGCTTGGGTTCAAGGATTGTTGCGCTGTCTGCAAACCAGTCAGGCTGACGTCGAGATTTCCGTGCAGGGATGGAAGCTTCGGCAGCATCTACAATCGCCGACTTGATAGGCTGCCAGGTGTCTTCATGGGTGACGTGACACGATTTCAGCCGATCACCAAGAGCACTTCGGTACACTGCCCTGTTGCACTCAACAACTTCCCGCTCCTCCTCACTCATACCCGTACACGTCTTCAATTGGCTTACATCGAACACGCTACGTTTCCCAGGGTTTCGCGGTGGCAGGCGCTGGCGGTGGACTGGTGCCGGAAGGCGATAGGTCAGACACACCAATCTGTGATCAGTGCTACACTCTGCACGGCGAACAACATGACAGTCCATGCAGTTGGTACGATCCGCTCGCCTAGTGAAGACAAAGTCGATACAGTGCCATGCCTGCGAGCGTGGGTGTTGCCATGTGTGCAGTTCTGCGTCCCGCTTCTTGAACCAGGTGTTACAGATTTGCAGACCATGCAGAGCCAAGAACAAGAGTAAACGTTCACCAGACTCATTCATAGCTCCAGTACCAAAAGGACCGCGAACTCTGTGCCACTCGTCATCACGCTGCCCTGAACCAACTCGAGCATTGAAGTCTCCGAGTACGATGAGTTTATCAGAGACCGGAATTGACAGAAGCACGTGTTCAAGCGAATTGAAAAATTTGAATTTTTCATCACGACTACTGCGGAAAGTGGGAGCGTAGCAAACAAGAACATGAACCCACTGCGACTTGCCAGACTCCAGAGCAAACTGCAACTTTACGACCATCACACGAGAAGACACAGCTGTCCACTGTCGGCCGCCTGCTGCAAACGCCAGCGCTGAGCGGCCCCGCATCACGAGCGCGACTCCCTCGCCACGAGCGAAATTTTCCACGGGTGTCGGTCGACCAGAAGCAACAACAACAGCATCCTCAACATTGTATACATTGTTGCCAAACCACTTCGTCTCTTGGAGTCCAAGGGTCTCGATACCAAGTCGTCGAGCTTCGCGAACGACGATGTTGATCTTCCTATCTTCCACGATGCAATTCACTTGGTTTGAATTTTTCAAATTCAAATTTCGAGTTGTCGCCGTCTCAACTGGGCCATCACAATTCACCAGACTGCGGACATTCCATGAGCCAAATTTTATCCACGACCTCCGTCTCCTCTTTCTCCTCGTCTCCTTTCTCGCCATTGTACTAAGGGCTTACTAGATAGACGTCCGAGTAGAGAGCCAATCTACACGAACGGGCGCGCGCAGGACGACGACAAGTGGTGGCAACAGGAAACCACCCAGTCTTGACGTCGTGAGCTCCCACGCGCGCAGTCAAGGGCCACCGCCCTTGGGACGACCCTGGAAGCCCAGAGTCGTCCCACGGAGAAAGAACTTTGGACGAAAAACTGCCAAAGGACGAGAGCTAAAAAGTTCAAACCGTCCCCAACACTGCCTGAGGACACACACACACACACACACACACACACACACACACACACACACACACACACACACACACACACACACACACACATACACACACACATGCACACACACACACACACACACACACACACACACACACACGCATGCACACACATATCGTATACTTGTACAGATGACAGTTGTATTTCAGAAGTAAAATTGTTGTCAATGCATTTCTTTGTATACCGGTATCTCTGTCACTTCGCATTCTGTCCAGCTGTTGGCGTCAGCGAGGTCTTCTCCCATGGTGAGGTGTTCCGAGTCAACCTCTCAGCGCCAATCAAACAGGTGTGGCATGTGTTTTCTCTGTGTGTGCTTGTGTGTGTGTGTGTGTGTGTGTGTGTGTGTGTGTGTGTGTGTGTGTGTGTGTGTGTGTGTGTGTGTGTGTGTGTTTTCCTATAACAAGTTAGAGGATGCGCGTTTCGCTAGTCTTTGCACAGTGACTTTTCAGATGGTGACTTCTCCAGCTGAAATAGCTGATACCTGCACAAACCTTTATTTGTTACCCGTCGCACGACTAAGTGGGTTGAAGAAAGTCAGTCACAACGCTGCACACTCGTAGTCTGTAAACGACAGGTGTGTAGATTTGACAACGTCTGACGACTAGCGCACCGTAGCCGCCTGGCACCAAGGCCCGGCAACACAGGACCTCGAGGACTAGTTCTGAAGTTTTTTTTCATTCCGGGGCTCCTCTTTTACCCATACCTAAATTCGACAGTTTTGGACCGAAGAATGTCATGGTTGCTGATCTCTATGTACAGGCAGTGCATTGCTTGCATCTCTTTCTATGTAGTACAATGGTGGCAAATGAAATCCAACCCCATGAACAGATCAGAGCCGTGGTACACAGCACAGTCTACTGCTCGTAGTGCTCGGGCTGTGCAGTCTCGGGACTGCCATACTCTCACGGCTGGATTTCACTTGCCGCAACTGTAGTCCAGGTCAGTTCACGGTACCATGTTCAAGTACTTTCTTCGTCCACTGCTATGTATACGTCATACTTCATAATATGATGACTCCTCTTTTCTCTATCATACTGAGCATGCGTCATAACAACATGGTCTTTTTGTCCGTCACTACTCTATGAACTGTTTGTGTGTTAGTGAGGTCCGACACAACATCCACTGTGACTCTATTGAATGTAGGATCATCCTAATCTCGTATCTCTTTTTTTGTGACAGTCTGATGACTAGCAGCTCTGACAGCTGTCATGGGGTAGAGCCTGTGTACATGTGCCTACTCTCTTTTGCTTTGCTTGTCATGCCTTGTTTGGTCGGGACTTGGAAGGACGCCATTGCCAGTGGCTATCTCCCGTGCTCGCGTGTGCGCGACCGCCACGCCAGCCGAGAGTTCAGCTGGGGCCAGTCCTGGCTCAGTATGTGGCGTCTTTGAAAGCCATGGCTATACCCAGCAGTTGCTCGTGCTAGCAACTCCTTTTCTCTCTCTCTTTGCGGAGCAGTGTAGCTGTAGAGAGAAGGAATAGAGTGTTTTGAACTGGATTCTACTTTGGGGTTGGGTCATGTCTGCACAAACTGTTCTGAACTGCGTATCCTGTGGTTGTGACAAGAAAAGGGTCAAAATTGTGTCGTGTTTGCACTCCGTGTGCGTTGTGTGCATTGAGCGGCACATCGAAGAGGATGGCTCCATCACCTGTCCGAAGTGTAGAGCATGCACACCATTGCAGCAGGCTGGATGTTCTCCCGTGCTGTGTTTGCCTGATAGTTATGCCTTGGTAGAGGGTGGTGGTACAGAGCAGAAGTCTGGCGTATCGTGTGATGAATGTATGGACGTGCAGGCAGCTGTTTGGCGCTGTGCAACGTGCAGCAGTCATTTATGCGATTTACACGGCCAAGGCCACAAGCGTTCCCGAGCTACGCATGATCATGAGGTACTGTCGTTGGATGCAGCAGTTACCGAGACTGCTGCTACTGCTACTGCTGCTGGCAGTACTGCTGCTACTGCTACTGCTACTGGCAGTACTGCTGCTACTGCTACTGCTACTGGCAGTACTGCTGAGACCACTACTGCTGCTTCAGCTACTCAATCCCAGCATCACTGTGCACTGCACCCAAGCAGTATCCTGACCAAGTTCTGCACGAAATGTAAGAAGTTGTTATGCGAGCGATGCATCGGCACCGGAAAACATGAGGAGCACAAACAAGATGTTGTACCCATCAGTGCTGCAGCAGAGAAGATGAGAGTGTCAGTGAATGATTTGTTGCTGAGCTGTGTGTCTGAGAGTGATGGCGTTCTGGAGAGCTCCATTGAGAAAGTACAGTCCTCCATTCGTAACCTTCATGATCAGATAGAGCTTGCATCAGAAGAGGCAGTGCTGTTTTTCCGTTCTCTGGTAGAAGCTATTAAGAAACGTGAAGCCAGTGTTCTGAATGAACTTGATGAGCTTCGAAGTCAGGCACTGGGACCTCTGGAGAAGCAACTCGCTAGACTGCAGGGCAGTGTATCACAAACAGAAGTTGTGAGTTGCTTGCTCGATTCTTGCCAGGACAGCGTGGACTTTGTGCGCATGTCGTCTTGGCTAGTGACAGCCTTGAACGGTGCAGCGGAGGTTGGCAAGAGTGATGCTGAGCCATGTGTTGTGAGCGGCATCGTCTTTGCGGCAAGCGACACACGTGATCTCGTGGCTGGCATTAGCAAAGCGGGTCTTTGTGCTGATGCAGCAAAGAACAAAGTGCGTTGCTCAGGCAATCGTAAGATGGGCAGTGACGTTGAGATCGACATAGAGGTGGAGCAACTTTCCGATGCTGCTACTATCAGCCAAGACCAGCTGAGGAAGATCGATGTAGGAGTTTGTGTGACAAATGCGGGCGGCAAGACAGTCCAGTGCGAGCCCCTACAGCAATCATCTACTGGACATCTGGTGACTAAATGCCGTCCTGCTGCAGCCGGCGAATACGCTGTTTCCACTACGATTGCCGGTGTTCCTCTGAAAGGTAGTGGAGTGAAGTTCAGTGTTGTTCCACCAGCACCTGCTCAGCCGGCACCCGTACCTGTGTTTGATATCAACCGCTGTCATGGCGATATTCAGATCAGTAACAACAACCGAACCATCAGTAAGTCGTCGTCCTACGGGTGGCGTTCAGTGTGTAGCTCACCGATACAGGAGAAGTGCGGTAGTAGTGCTATACAGCTACGTATAGATGTCACACAGCAAGCCAGTATCTATGTATGCTTATGTGCATCGTCTAGTCCAGTACTGAATGGTACACATCGCACACAGGGTGAAGTGTACGGTTGGTATGGTTACCGTGCTAATACCTGGTGTGGTGGTGCTCTAGGCCAGCCCTGGCAGAGCAATGATGTGATCACATTGACATTAAACCATGA